TTAAATCTAAAATTAAACAAAGAGGAGTTGTGCATAACAACCTCATAAAAATTAAAACCTCTTCTGTGACAGAAAGACAAAACAGGAGAATTAAATGCGGACTGTTAAATATCAGGTCTCTATCGTCTAAAGCAGTGTTAGTAAACGAATTAATATCAGATAATCATATTGATTTACTCAGTCTCACTGAAACCTGGCTGTGTCAAGATGAATATGTTAGTCTAAATGAGTCCACTCCTCCCAGTCATAATAATACCCACATTCCTCGAGGCAGCGGCCGAGGAGGGGGAGTTGCAGCCATTTTTAACTCTAGTCTGTTAATCAGCCCTAAACCTAAACTAGATTATAATTCATTTGAAAGCCTCGTTCTTAGTGTTTTACATCCGACCTGGAAAACCTCGCAGCCACTTTTATTTGTTATAGTGTACCGTGCTCCTGGCCCGTATTCTGAATTTGTATCTGAATTCTCAGAGTTTTTATCCAGTTTAGTTCTTAAATCAGATAAAGTTATTATTGTAGGCGATTTTAACATTCATGTCGACGTTGATAATGACTCCCTGGCTACCGCGTTTATCTCATTAATAGACTCCATTGGCTTCAGTCAGGGTGTACATGAACCCACTCACTGTTTTAACCATACCCTCGATCTAGTTCTGACGTATGGAATTGAAATTGATAACCTAAAAGTCTTTCCACAGAATCCCTTGCTATCAGATCATTATCTGATTACTTTTGATTTCTTTTTACTCGATTACACGCCACTCAGCAACAGTTACTATACTAGATGTTTATCAGATAGTGCTGTCACAAAATTTAAGGAAAAGATTACTTCGTCGTTAAATTCAATACCAATACCTTCAGTAACAGAGGTTTCCCGTGCCGACTTTAACCTCTCCCAAATTGATCATTTTGTTGATAGCGCCGTAGGCTCGCTGCGAACAACGCTCGACTCTGTAGCTCCTCTTAAAAAGAAGTTAACAAAGCAAAGAAAGTTTGCTCCTTGGTATAACTCTCAAACCCGTAGGTTAAAACAAATATCGCGAAAATTTGAAAGGAATTGGCGATTAACCAAACTGGAAGAATCTCGTTTAATCTGGACAGACAGTCTCAAAACTTATAAGAGGGGCCTCCGCAATGCCAGAGCAAACTATTACTCAGCATTAATAGAAGAAAACAAGAACAACCCCAGGTTTCTTTTCAGCACTGTAGCCAGGCTGACTGAGAGTCAAAGCTCTATTGAGCCTTGTATTCCTTTAGCCCTTAGCAGTAATGATTTTATGAGCTTTTTTAATGACAAAATTCTAACTATTAGAGGCAAAATTCATGACCTCCTGCCCTCAGATGGTAGGCCTACCTATCTAACCTCAAACACAGCTGTAGAATCTAATATATATTTAGATTGCTTCTCCCCAATTTCTCTTCAAGAATTGACCGCAGTGATTTCTTCATCTAAATCATCAACGTGTCTCTTAGACCCCATCCCAACTAGGCTACTTAAGGAGGTCTTTCCTTTAGTTAACACTCATATATTAGATATGATCAATATATCCCTATTAACAGGCTATGTACCACAGTCTTTTAAGGTAGCTGTAATTAAACCTCTCCTAAAAAAGCCCACCCTGGATCCAGAGGTGTTAGCCAACTATAGACCAATATCTAATCTTCCCTTTATGTCAAAGATCCTTGAGAAAGTAGTCGCAGACCAGCTGTGTGATTTTCTCCAGGATAATAATTTATTTGAGGAATTTCAGTCAGGATTTAGAGTGCATCATAGCACTGAGACAGCTCTAGTTAAAATTACAAATGACCTTCTGATTGCTTCAGACAAAGGACTCGTCTCTGTTCTTGTTTTATTAGATCTTAGTGCGGCGTTTGACACAATTGACCATCAAATTCTACTGCAGAGACTGGATCACTTAATTGGCCTAAAAGGTTCAGCACTAAGCTGGTTTAAATCTTATTTATCTGATCGTTTTCAATTTGTTGACGTTCGTAATGAATCATCCTTACGTACCAAAGTTTGTTTTGGAGTTCCGCAAGGTTCTGTGCTCGGACCAATCCTATTTACTCTATATATGCTTCCTTTAGGTAACATCATTAGAAATCACTCTATAAATTTCCATTGTTATGCGGATGATACACAGTTGTATTTATCGATGAAGCCAGAAGAAAGTAATCAATTAACTAAACTCCATAACTGCCTTAAAGACATAAAAAATTGGATGAGCACCAATTTCCTGATGTTAAATTCAGACAAAACTGAAGTTATTGTTCTTGGCCCCAAACAACTCAGAGACTCTTTATCTGATGACATAGTTTCTCTAGATGGCATTGCTCTGGCCTCTAGCACTACCGTAAGAAACCTCGGAGTAATATTTGATCAAGATTTGTCTTTTAATTCTCATTTAAAGCAAACCTCACGGACTGCATTTTTTCATCTGCGTAATATTGCGAAAATTAGGCCTATCCTGACCCGAAAAGATGCAGAAAAATTGGTCCACGCTTTTGTTACCTCAAGGCTGGATTACTGTAACTCTCTATTATCAGGTAGCTCTAGTAAGTCCTTAAAAACTCTCCAGCTAATTCAGAATGCAGCAGCACGTGTACTAACAGGAACTAAGAAACGAGATCATATTTCTCCTGTTTTAGCTTCTCTGCACTGGCTCCCTGTAAAATCCAGAATTGAATTTAAAATCCTACTGTTAACTTATAAAGCTCTAAATGGTCAAGCTCCGTCATATCTTAGAGAGCTCATAGTGCCATATTATCCCACCAGAACACTGCGCTCTGAGAACGCAGGGTTACTCGTGGTCCCTAAAGTCTCCAAAAGTAGATCAGGAGCCAGAGCCTTCAGCTATCAGGCTCCTCTCCTGTGGAATCATCTTCCTGTTACGGTCCGGGAGGCAGACACCGTCTCCACATTTAAGACTAGACTTAAGACTTTCCTCTTTGATAAAGCTTATAGTTAGGGCTGGCTCAGGCTTGCCCTGTACCAGCCCCTAGTTAGGCTGACTTAGGCCTAGTCTGCCGGAGGACCCCCCTATAATACACCGGGCACCTTCTCTCCTTCTCTCTCTCTCTCTCTCTCTCTCTCGTATTCTATTACTGCATCTTGCTAACTCGGCCATTCTGGATGTCACTAACTCGGCTTCTTCTCCGGAGCCTTTGTGCTCCACTGTCTCTCAGATTAACTCATATCGCAGCGGTGCCTGGACAGCGTGACGTGTGTGGTTGTGCTGCTGCCGTGGTCCTGCCAGATGCCTCCTGCTGCTGCTGCCATCATTAGTCATTAGTCATACTTCTACTGTTATTATACACATATGACTATTGTCACACATGTATACTGCCAGATATTAATACATACTTTCAACATATTGTACCACAGTAGCCAGAATTATAGCTATAATACTATTACTTTAATTAATGTTGTAAGTGAGTTGATTAAATGTTTTGTTATTACCCATTGTTCTGGACCTCTGACCTTGAATAAGAATCAGATGTGCACCTTAGAGTAAAATCAAGTTGTGAAACTCAGATCAGTAAAACCCCATCTGACATCAGTTTGAAGTTTGAAACTTATCTGAGAAAAGAAAGATTTCAGATAAATCCATTATCCCTCAGAGCAGAGGGACATTAAAAACCAACCCTGTGTCAGTGTAAACAACAGATTGACACCTACAACTCAAACAATTTAGACGAGTACAGAAAATTCTGGTGTGCACTCTGGAGAGCTATTGGCAGTGCAAAAAGACAATACAAGGACAAAGTGGAGTCTGACGACCAGGGCTTCAATATCAGAAACATGGTCTGGACCAGAAACCATCACAGACTACCAAAGGAGAACCAGCAGTACTGAGGTAATGTCTGCACCTCTCTCAGATGACCTGAACACCTTCTACACACACATATCCAGGGCAGATGTGTGCAGATCTTTGAAAGTGATTAATCCACACTAGACAAGTGGACCTGATGGCATCCCTGGCTGAGCTTGCAAGGTGTGTGCAGATGTCTTCAGAGACATTTTCAACCTCCTACTGCTCCAGTCTGTAGTCCCCACATGTTTTAAAAAGACGCCTGTGGCCCCGTCTGGCCCCAAAAAGACCACCCAACAACACTCCCCTCCACCATCATGAAGTGCTTCAAGCAGTCAGTCAGAATCTTCACCACCTCCTCCTTCTCAATTTCACTGCATCCACTGATATTTGAATACAGACCAAACAGATCTAGAGACGACACCATCATCCTCACTCTCCACACTGCCCTCTCCCACCTGGACCAGAGGAAAACATGTGAGAATGCTGTCAATGTATACTTTACTTTACTATAGTTTAGCCTTCAACACAACTGTGTCCTCTAAACTGATCATCAAGCTCAGAGACCTGGGACTCAACACGGCCCTCTGTGACTGGATCCTGAGATTCCTAACAGGCAGACCTCACAAACTCCACCCTAAGGCTGTGTGCTCCACCCTCTTCTGTACTCCCTGTTCACACATGACTGCGTGGCCACACACAGCTCCAACACTATCAAGTTTGCTGATGGCACGACCGCTATCTGCCTGATCAACGAGACATCCCACACAGAGGAGATCAGAGCTTTGACATTTTGGTGCCAGGACAACAACCTCCATCTCAACACCAGCAAAACAAAGAAGCTGATTGTGGACTACAGGAAGAGAGAGGGCACTCCCCCATCTCCATCAACCGGACTATGGTGTAGAGTCAGCAGCTTCAGGTACCTCAGGCTTCACATCAGTGAGGACCAGACCTGGACTCACCACACAGACACCATCACCAAGACTCAAGTTTTTCAATGGCATCGACTGCTCCTGTAACTGTTGTTTATTTGACAATAAATGTCTCTGAACTTTGAATGATCAAACGTGTTGCCAGTGGATGTGATTTCCTACTAAAAAAATAACAGCTATCTGTGAAATCATGGACACTTTAATATCTGCCTTTTCAGTGAATGCATCAGTCTTGTATTCTGTCTCTGTTCAGATCCTCCGTCCAGTCCCATGATCTACTCCAGAGACAACGTGGAGCTGGGAGAGAACAACATCCTCATCTGTCATGTGACTGGTTTCTATCCTGCTCCTGTAAAGTTCTACTGGACGAAGAACAACAAGAACGTCACTGAAGGAACCAGCGTCAACGTTCCCTTCCCCAACAAGGACGGTTCCTTCAACCAGTTCTCCAGACTGGAGTTCGTCCCACAGCTGGGAGACATCTACAGCTGTTCAGTGGAACATCGGGCCCTGGACCAACCACTGACCAGAATCTGGGGTGAGACAACTTTATTGATACAAACACATCTGTCTCCAGATGTTTCTGTGTCCTCTGTCTCCAGATGTTTCTGTNCAGATGTTTCTGTATGTTCTGTCTCCAGATGTTTCGGTGTCCTCTATCTCCAGATGTTTCTGTGTCCTCTGTCTCCAGATGTTTCTGTGTCCTCCTGTCTCCAGATGTTTCTGTGTCCTCTGTCTCCAGATGTTTCTGTCTTCTGTCTCCAGAAGTTTCTGTGTCCTCTGTCTCCAGAAGTTTCTGTGTCCTCTGTCTCCAGATGTTTCTGTGTCCTCTGTCTTCAGATGTTTCTGTATGTTCTGTCTCCAGATGTTTCGGTGTCCTCTATCTCCAGATGTTTCTGTGTCCTCTGTCTCCAGATGTTTCTGTGTCCTCCTGTCTCCAGATGTTTCTGTGTCTTCTGTCTCCAGATGTTTCTGTGTCTCCTGTCTCCAGATGTTTCTGTGTCCTCTGTCTCCAGATGTTTCTGTCTTCTGTCTCCAGAAGTTTCTGTGTCCTCTGTCTCCAGAAGTTTCTGTGTCCTCTGTCTCCAGATGTTTCTGTGTCCTCTGTCTTCAGATGTTTCTGTATGTTCTGTCTCCAGATGTTTCGGTGTCCTCTATCTCCAGATGTTTCTGTGTCCTCTGTCTCCAGATGTTTCTGTGTCCTCCTGTCTCCAGATGTTTCTGTGTCTTCTGTCTCCAGATGTTTCTGTGTCTCCTGTTTTCAGATGTTTCTGTGTCCTCTGTCTCCAGATGTTTCTGTCTTCTGTCTCCAGAAGTTTCTGTGTCCTCTGTCTCCAGATGTTTCTCTCTTCTGTCTCCAGATGTTTCTGTATGTTCTGTCTCCAGATGTTTGTGTCTTCTGTCTCCAGAAGTTTCTGTGTCTTCTGTCTCCAGATGTTTCTGTATTTTATGTCTCCAGATATTTCTGTGTCCTCTGTCTCCAGATGTTTCTGTGTCCCCTGTATCCAGATGCTTCTGTATTTTATGTCTCCAGATGTTTCTGGGTCTTCTGTCTCCAGATGTTTCTGTATTCTCTGTCTCCAAATGTTTCTGTCTCCTGTTTTCAGATGTTTCTGTGTCCTCTGTCTCCAGATGTTTCTGTCTCCTGTTTCCAGATGTTTCTGTATGTTCTGTCTCTAGATGTCTGTCTCCAGATGTTTATGTGTCCTCTGTCTCCAGATGTTTGTGTCCTGTGTTTCCAGATGTTTCTGTGTCCTCTGTCTCCAGATGTTTCTGTGTCCTCTGTCTCCAGATGTTTCTGTGTCTTCTGTCTCCAGATGTTTGTGTCCTCTGTTTCCAGATGTTGCTGTGTCTTCTGTCTCCAGATGTTTCTGTGTCCTGTGTTTCCAGATGTTTCTGTGTCCTCTGTCTCCAGATGTTTCTGGTCCTCTGTCTCCAGATGTTTCTGTGTCCTGTCTCCAGATGTTTCTGCGTCTTCTGTCTCCAGATGTTTCTTTATGTTCTGTCTCCAGATGTTTGTGTGTTCTGTCTCCAGATGTTTCTGTATGTTCTGTCTACATATGTTTCTGTGTCCTCTGTCTCCAGATGTTTCTGTCTCCTGTTTCCAGATGTTTCTGTGTCCTCTGTCTCGAGATATTTCTGTCTCCAGATGTGGAGGTGAAACTTCATGTCTCTGTCTTTTCTGTCTCCAGATGTTTCTGTCTCCTGTTTCCAGATGTCTCTGTGTCCTCTGTCTCCAGATGTTTCTCTGTCTCCAGATGTGGAGGTGAAGCTTCATGTCTCTGTCTTTTCTGTCTCCAGATGTGGAGAAGACTCAGCCCAGTGTTGGACCTGCAGTTTTCTGTGGAGTGGGTCTGACTGTCGGTCTGCTCGGTGTGGCTGCTGGAACCTTCTTCCTCATCAAAGGGAACGAGTGCAGCTGATTGGTTGAATATATATGATGTCAGTGTTTATACACAGGTTAGGTGTGTGGAGCTGCTGCATACTGAAGCTTTCTGCTGCATGTAGATCAAGTATATCTGAATGTCTCTGAATCATTATTAACACAACTCTCTGATGTTTTCTGCAGTCGATTCACATTTGAAATGATCATAGTTATCAGATGAAATTTACAGTCTTTTCAATCAGCTTTACAAATAAAAAATGGAATGAATGATGAATTAATCAATAAATGTATAAATTAATGTCAATAACATCTTGACTGTGTGTCATTTGTTTGTACTGTCATTGTGCACCCTGTTCTCCTTTCATAACATAAACGTATACAACCATCTGTATTTTGCTGCTGTATGTGAGCCAGCACCCACGGGCGATTCATGTACCTCCACCATTTGTTTTTCAAATATCTCAGTGTTGTGATCATTTTATTTCTGGTGTTACAGTGTCAGGTGTGAAATGTTTGCGAATCACAAGTGAGATCAACTGCAAACACTTCAGTCAGCAGAGACTTGTATTTTATAGTAAAAAGAATATTTATTAACATGTGCACATAAGAATGAAAACTGTGGAACGTCTTTGGTGATTAGACCCCGACGAGATGGTTTGATTTAAGGAGGGTGATGGATCCATAGTCAAGTTTGATTGGATAACAAGAAGAGTGAACACATCAGCTGATTAAACAGTGGTTTAGAGAGAATTGTGTCATGAACTGGCTCAGTTCAGACAAACAAGGGAAACCACCCAAGTAATTCTGGTTAAAGTAAAATAAATGTATGTAACCAATATTAAACATAAAAACAAGGTGAAAAGTGTAAATCAGTATCATCAGTGATGTAGGGAGTGCTTGGGTAGAATGAATGTGTGGTGTACTGTAGGTGAGTGTGAGGAAAGCAAATCAAACTAACATAACAAAACAACCCACAAACCCTGTTTGCCATGAGCAGAGAGAGACTGGAACTGATACATCCAGTCCTCTACATAGACCCAGTATGAGAGAACTGGATTCAGGTGTGGCTCATCTTCCAGCCACACCTCTGCACGCTGGCCCGCCTCCTGCAGAGGAGCAGAAAAAGGACACCACAGGAACAACCACCAAAGAGGGAGGGGTCGTCACAATGGTGAATGGATGAACACAAAGAAAGTTTTCCTGATTGATCTGAAGCTGAGCTTTATCAGTCCTGCTTATTTTTATTCTCATTTCATTTCCTCACTGTCATCCAGTGTATTTCTCTGACCTCTGGAACTGCTCCTTCAGATCTTTGAAGGTCTGACATTCTCTGTGAATAACTTTTGTCTTTACCAGGACCTCGCCTTAACTTTAGGTAGAAATTCTAAGAAATGTCACAAATTTTAAGAATTTTGACAGAATTTCATCACTCTAAGCGACTTTATATTCCAGAAATTTTGTGAATACAGGCCACTGATGTTCTACCAGGGAAAAGATTGACCCTTAACTGAATGCTGTCACATGTTTGTTAGCTAGCTAATGTAACCACGTTAAGTTAAAGTAGCATTAACGTAAGCTAGTATCCAGCAGCTTTAATGACACGTATCAATCACGTCAAACCACACTTGGTATTAACATGAATCATAAATCTTCCAGGATAACGTAATAAATCTACCAGAATAGAGTTGTGAATGTAGGAGAAAAAAGTCTTAAATCTACGAGAATAAAGTCAGAAACCTTCCAGAGTAAAGTAATTCCACAAGAATAAAGAAATAAATCTTCCAGACAAAAGTCATAAATCTACGAGAATAAAGTTGTTAACCTTTCAAAATAAAGTAAAAAATCTACCACGATAAAGTCATACATCTATGAGAATAATGGCGTAAATCTTTTACAATAAACTCATTAATCTTTCAGAATAAAGTCGTAAATCTTCCAGTATTAAGACATAAATCTCCCAGAATAAAGACTCCTACAATAAAGCCATAAATCTACAAAAATGAAGTAGTAAATCTACCAGAATAAAGTTATAAATCTTCCAGAATAAAGTTGTACATCTCAGAGTCACGTGAGAGCACTGAACAGGATGGATGGCTAACAACGTCGCTCTGCATAACCCCCAGAATTTCCTCTCAGTAATACTGCAATTGACTCCGTAATACTAAGGAAGTGTTGTTAATTTACAAGTGAATACCATCGCAAGTGAATGCCCATAGTTTAGCCAAGGTCCGGCATGACAACCATGACTACCAACTCAAAAACGAGAGCCGCTAAGCAAGGCGCTAGCTATGCTAGCTTAGTGAGTGGAGCTTCATCCAGGGCCGCTGAAAAGGAGCCGCAAACTGCATGAGTTATGACACCGCCTGGGTTTGCCGAACTGCAGGCTGCACTGCAGAGGGCTATGGAGGAAATGGCTCGGTTTAGCAGCACCTTATCAAACCTACAAGCAGATGTAACCAGTGTCAAGACCACTCAAGGTAAAATGAAAACGGATGTGGCAGCCATCTTCCAACGAGTCGACGAGGCTGAGTCAAGGATTTTTGAACTAGAAGATGAGAATGGGCGCCTGAAGCAGCTGGCCAAGACGAGTGCCAAAGAGTGTGTGGTGCTTCGAGAAACTGTGACTGATATGGCTAACTGAGAGAGACACCTGAATATACGGCTCTTTGGACTGAAAGAAATATCCGAAAACAGGGTCAAGCTTCGGGAGTGTGTGAAGCAATTTTTCTCCGAGGCTCTCTGAGTAGATTTGGCTGAATCGGAGCTGCAAATAGGGCACCAAGCTGTGACCAAGATGCCAGCGGAGGGTGCTCCTTCTCGACCGGTCATTATCCGCTTTCATAGATTTTTGGTAAAGGAGCGAGTCCTGACGGCAGTGAGGGTGAAGGCACGTGAACCCGGAGGGATTCAATATGACGGGTCAAAACTTTCAGTCTTCCCCGACATGACGAAGGATGTTGCAGAGAGGAGGCGGCAGTTCACTGAAGTGAGAAAGAAGCTGCATGAGCTGAACGTGCGCTTCACGCTGGCATACCCGGCCATACTTTGTTTCACATGGAAGGGGGAAAAGGTGAGCTTCACTGACCCTCATAAGGCATTGGAGCTGCTGTCTGAGACGGGCCGCGAGTTAACGGAGGCTGGCGCCGGCCAGTCAGAGCTGGGATGAAAGACCAGGACGACAATATCAGCATCCGATGAACATCTTTTTTTCCTACTTTGAGCTTTGTTGTTACAATGCACAACAGGATCAAAGTGTATTGCAAAGGATTCTAAAGCTTCCTAATGTTGTACAATCATCACCTGTATTTTATAATATGGCAGCGAATGATCTGTATGGTAAAAGTGAGAGTCTGAGGACAATATGGCAAAGGGACCTGGATACTGAGCTTGAACAAGAGGTTTGGGAGAATATTGTCCATAACATGGGTTGGTCAGTAAGGGACAGCAAGTGTAGTGTAATGTACTGATTTACTGAAGACATATACTGTACCTTTTAGCTGACCTTTAAAAGATATGTGTTGAAGCAATATAATCTGTGCA